ATGGAACACCACAGGTGTGCCAAAGGTTGCAACATTCAGACAAAAAGGCAAGAGTACAGAATGTACACTCGCTAAATAGTGTTCCCCTTAAACAGTTCTACAAAAGGAAGGGAGGGACAGTACTGGACAAACATGGTACATTAGCACGCGCATGTGCGAATGCGACGGTTAATCAGCAAACAGTTGCTTATTAGCAGGTTCCTTAGCAGACGATTTTGGGAGTTCTTGTCTTCTCTTAGAGCATCCACAGATGCTTCAATGGCCTTTGAGACGGTGTTCTGATTCGCTTTGCCCTCCAGAATTAGTTTTCCCCACTGAATTAGTCGGAACTTCTTGGACAGCAAGAAGTAGGAGAAGGCAAAGGAAACGTCAACAGTGGGAACGGATAAGTCGAAGAGTTTCCAAAGGCGTGTTCTTTGCAGTGGAAGTTCACATCCAAGTCTTGCAGTTCCAAGGGACAACAGGTTCGTCTTCATCAGAATAAACAACCAAGCGACGGCGCCGTACAGGTGCAGGATTTATAGACATAGGTTGCCTAGAAAAGGAAACAGAGGAAGTAGGTCTTTAACAACACATCTATATGGGAAAACATGCACATTCCTATGCAATGCGGCAGCAACTTGTAAATCAAGAATAAGACAATGGCTAACAACAAAGAACAAACTGCACAAGGGATCTCCATAAAGTAAGACGATTATTACTTCAATCTGTGGGAAAACAATTGATTTGAAGCTGACCAAGTAAGCAAAAGCTACAACTATTTGTTTATTTTGTTCTGTATTTAAAAAAAGTAACACATTCGTAGATAATTAGTATGGCACTGAGAGGTAACATTGTGCGTCTGCAAACTGTAAACACGTGTAAGTTAGCGAAGGTCGAAGAAAGGGGTACAAAAGGCCATCCATCGGCTATTGTACTTTATGTTAACGACATAGAACCATGTATAAAAGCACAAGACCAAGGTAAATGTAAAAGCATTGTTTACAGTTCTTTCCCGTCAAAAATAAGTATTTTGTGCAGGCTGGAAACCATCTTTGATCAGTTTTAAAAGGGCACAAAAATCATGCAAACTGGAATCTTAGGGAGCAGACAACACTGGCAGAAAGATAATTAGGACGACACATACTGTGACAAAGGCTGAATTGTTGTTGTCTGCAAATTGACACCGAGGGCATTAAGATTTCCAGAGACAGGATTCGCCGATTCGGTTGGCAAAGGATGTCCAACAGGGATCTGAAGGGACGCTATCGGAACATCGGTTTCTTCAAGAGTAACTGTAGGACGACGCGCAGCACCTGCAGCACCAGTTTTCCTGCAAAAGTTAAAACAAAGTTGTAGAAGGTAAGGCCAGTAAATCGAAGTACACTGCAGGATACTATGATAAACACAAGGATTCCAAGAGGCAATAGTGGCGTATGCACAGTTAACAACCAAGTAAGTGGTAAAACGAAAGAACACTGGGAAATGGGTAGGGAGCAGGGCACATTTTTTTAAGAGATTGCACAACAACCAAGTAAATTGCCAGTACGCAAGCAGAAGCAAGGTAAATAGGAACTGAAGACCTAATGTAGGATATGGTAAATTTGGTACAAGAAACATAGCAAGTAATAAAGGGCAGAGAGACTTCTTCTTAGCAGATGGTTTCTTCGGCTTCGCTTTCTTTGAACTGATGTTCTTGTTCTGCACATTAGCATCTGTAGTGTCCGCAGCAAGTTCCCTGATACAGAGCTGCTCAGCAAGGAAAGAAGAGACAATAAAAGCTAGTAAGTAAGTTAACAGTAGGGAAAGTACTGTGGGGTTCGCTGTGGTGCAGTTTCTGGGGGCACTTCCTCACTTCTAGGCCTACGAAGCAGTAAAATCGGGTGTGCAAGAGACAGTGACAAATATCAGCAGGCGTAAAGTCGAACGATTGAGGTAATACAGGAAAAGGCAAGAAACTGACCGCGCATAGGAAAACAATCTCAGTACGACTAAGTTCGGGAGAAGAAGGTACGGAACTGATGTTTAAAAGAAACATGTCAGGGAAACGACTTAAGAACGTGTATAAGCAGAACTAAGCTAGCAAAGCAGGACAACAAACAGACAACCTTCCTAATGCAGCAGATGAGGGCGAAGATACAGCAGCGATGCGGCTACTGGAAATTGATGGTAAACAACGCATGGGAAAGAAATGTCAACACATTGGGAAGAGTACGACAGCGTCCAAGGAGCGCTGTCAATTTTGTAAAGCAAAGTGAATTTTAGGAAAAACCTGCTATAGGGACGGACGTGGAGGAGTAGAAAATGCAAGCTGAGAACTCCCACTGCAAATTTAAGAAGAAACCCGAGTTCAAGACAAAGAACAATCAGGGAAAAGAGGGCATGTAAAATGGAAGCATAACCTCGGTGAAGCAACAGAAGGACCATGGTCTACCGAAGCGTTCGGCATTGTTGGAACAACATATGGAGAAGCAAGAGGCATCTTGTGAGGACTGCAACGGAAAGCAGCGATTAGTAATGACAAAAGGAAAACGTACCACAAAAGTCAGGACATTTAAATACCTGTTAGGAGGTGGTGTATGGGACATAGCATTTCTTGCCCGGCGACCAAGAGCTGGTGAGCAGGAATTTGGTTGTTCTTGTTCAGTGACAGCAAGGACCGTGAACTCTGGGGGGCCACGAGACCCATATTCCGGTTTTGGAAGCTGGACGTCAAAAGTAAAGTCTCGCCCTTCAAGAGCCAGGAGTTCTTGTGGTAAAACATTGCGCTGGTAAGGAAACCTGGTAAGAGATCGTTAGCAGTCAAGCCCACAAGAAGGTCAGCGGCCCTACCCAGCAGAACAAAAGCTGCTGATCCAGTGTTGTCATCAACTGTTACCCGGAGCTTGTAACTGCACAAAACACGTACAGGAGCATGTAAGGACACGAGAAAAGGCAAAAGGTATGGGGGCAAGAATGAAGAAAGGAATTACAAGTTCTGTGTTTGTTGAGGCACCAATCGACGGTGGTCATCACACCATTTGTCAACACCATCATAATCTATGGCTGCTTTGGAACAAAGCGCACAACCCAAGTAATACCACTGCATAGAAGAATCAACCGAGACGATCCGACCAGAGCAATGGTAACGCGTAGACTACACAAAAGGAAACGGAAGAAACGATTAGACGAAAACAAATAAAGTGAAAGGACAGAAGCAGGTAAGCAGGAGAGCAAAAGGGAAGGAACATACATCTGCAGCAGGTGGAAAACACAAGGCAAGGAGCTGTGCTACAGTCTTCGTACATTCAGCTTCAAAAGCCGCTGCCTCATTAGGAGTTGCAAACCTCGGAGGGTAATATTGACATGTATTAGTGCTGGCAAAGAACCTAGCGAAAGCAAAAGCAAGAGAACGCAACAAATTAGCAGGAACAAAAAGACAACTAACGATGCTGAGGGAAAAGAAAATATGATAAGGATAAGAAGAGGCATACACAGATTGGACCAGGTGAGCCATTTCAGAAAACAGGGTTGAGAACACAACGTGTGCCTGGAGTACTGGTAAGAGAGTAACCTCCTACAAAAGGGGTAAAGTTAATGAGGAAAAGAGGAAGGGAAATGAAAGGGAGAATCCTGCGGCGGTAAGGTATATTGGAGACCTTTCGTAGCGCCAGTGACCCGAAGTGAGGAAACAGCTAGCATAACTGGCCCAGAACGACCAAGGACAGCCAGTTCCTGACCATTGAGATTCCGAGCTATCTCACTCCACAGGCTGATATCAAGAAACATGTGACTGGGCAACGAAACACCGAAAGTTAGTAACAGGTGTATTATAGTCGATAAAGAAGTGGTGTGTATGTGTAACATACTTTCATTCTGAAGCACCAAATCACTACGCACAGTGGTACCGAATGAAGTGACGGTGCTAGAAACGCCTGTGATGCTAACCAACAGCGCCAACGACATCTGACAGAGCCGCAAGCAAGAGAAGAACGCAAAGGATGTTATTCAGTACACTATAAAACGAACAGCAAGAGACGTAAAGGACACAGAATAAGACCTGTTAGATAAACCGATGAACGTATGCGGGAATGAAGCGAACTGAACGGGGTAAATTCAAACGCATCCGGCCAGAATGAAGGCGACGAACGGGTCACGTCTTCGAACTGTGTAGCGGCAGAGAGGACGATGGTCAACTTATGAGAGCAAGAACGATACGAAGGGGACGGTGGCTTGACGCGAAAATTGCTAACGAAGTAAACGCTACCCAACTGCAGAAGCGGAGCAAAATGGCGCGTGAGTTCCGACGGAGCTGTGCCCTGAATCAAAGTACCCTGGGCAGGAAATACACGAACATCAGAGGGCTGCAAACAAAAGGGAGGCGCAAAATTGCATGAAAAAAAAAAAAAACAGGAAAGCAGCGCTAACCTCCTCATCGTTCCAAAGAGTGCAGTAGTTGAAGATTAATTTAGGATTCTTCAGACCATAAGACCCCCACGCATTAAGGAGGCGCAGCTTCAGAAGAGTCTGAGGGCCATCGGAGTCGCTGAGGTCAAGAAGCAATTTATGGGTCACCATGGAAGAGCAATAGAAGAAAGCAAGATAGAAGAGGGAAAGTCTGTGAGAAGCATAAATGAAAGGTAGCAAAGCAAAACAAGACTTTTGTGGGGAAAGGAACAGATAAGGAAGCAGCAGTCCTGTCATTTCCAGGGGAAAGGTGAGGAGTTCCGAAAACCGATCAGTTGCAGAGAGAAGAGAAGTCGCTGGCGAAGCAACCCAGGCAAAAAGCATAGAGACCAGAGAGAGGAAAGCAATGATTACAAACGAAGACTCAGCTAAAATCTGGCAAAGAAAGGAAACATCAGTGCATTTTTCGTCCTCAGTAAAACCTGGCAAAGAAAGGAAACATAATTACAAAAGAGAGCCACCTATGGATGTCAGTACTCAGAAGAAGGGCCAATCAGAAAGGAGAACAAGAGGCAAAAAAGCAAACCAAGTGACAGTGTTTTGATGTGACTCTAAGAAACAGTAAACTTGTAACTTGTTCTTTTAAAGAGATAATATACAGAGCCTTCTTCTCGCCATAAGAGTTGGTGTACCCACCACACCCATGGCTGACCATGGGAAGACCAGCACCAGTACCAATACCACTGCGCCTCGGACGCTGTCGGATCTCATGGAGAACAACAACAGCAACAACTACCCATTCTTGTGGGATGGCTCTAGCCTGCCAGCAGAGCTTTTAGCAGGGAGAGATTTCGCAAAGCAGCTCAAGCTCCAGCTCCTCGACCCCCCGCTTCCTTCTTGTTCATCGTCGGATTCGGCGATAACAACGACGACGTCATCGTCCGACCGTCGTTGTCATCCTGAGCTGCAGCAGGACAACAACAAGAGTCAACAGCAGCAGTCAACCGGCAGGCAAGGGGTTGTCCAGGAGATTTTGGAGTCTTTCGACAACGCGCTTTCCTTGCTCGGTCATCATGACATTGACGACAACAGCCACTTGAACAAGTGGGGTAGTCCTCCTCCTCCAAGTGGGAAGGCCGCCGCCGGCGGTGGCGTTCCTCCTACCTTCAAGGTCCCTCCTGCTCCTGTGAAAAGGTCGGTAATTCACAACAACCAGTATCAAAAGTGTTGAAACAAAAAATGTACTTCGTGTCGTTTCTAACACTTGAGGATGATGATGATGATGAAGAGTAAGTAGGAAGAGCAGTTCGAAGTGGACGCATCAAGTGAGAGTGAGCGCAATCGGCCTGTACGATGGTTTCAACTGGAGGAAATACGGCCAGAAGGACATCCTCGGATGCAGATACCCACGGTAGGACTCGTAGGACATTCTCATTTTTTGCAGTGCCAGATTTGTGTATGATCCTCAAATCTTTAACTGAAAGTTTGCTGTTTGGCCAAGATGTTACTACCGCTGCGGGGACAAGTTCTCGACCGGCTGCAAGGCCACGAGACAAGTGCAGAGGTGGGACGAAGACCCGGAAATCTTCGAGGTTACGTGCAATGGGAGCCACACCTGCCGCGGTGGAGATGGCGGGATGCGAGAAGCGTCGGCGATCACCACCATGTCGCCTTCCCCTGCGTCGACTGTGATAACCTGCGGAGAGGGGAGTGCATCGGAGATCACCGCCATGTCGCCTTCCCCTGCATCGAGTGTGGTAACCTACGGAGAGGGGAGTACTCTGTTCTTCAACTCAGGCTCGGAGTTTGGAGGAGTTCAAGAAGCGTCTATGATCACCACCATGTCGCCTTCCCCTGCATCGAGTGTGATAACCTGCAGAGAGGGGAGTCCTCTGTTCTTCAACTCGGACTCTGAGTTTGCAGAAGCATCAGCACCTCATCATCTAGCTCTCCATCCGCAATCAAGGACAAAGTCCAAGATTTCCAATTTCTGTCAGGTAACCATATCCAAAGATTCTTTACTTATGAATCCATGGAGTTACAAATACTAGGTAATTCTCTATTGAAAATACTACATTCGTTTTTAGAGTCAAATAACAGAAGCAGCGCATAAGGTCCATCGTTTTGATAGCACTAGAAATTCGAAAGTCAAGCTATCTCAGTACCATTACCATAGGGGCTTCCAACTACTCAAGGCTACGCCGAACCTAACCAAATCAAACTGAAATGACATTTGAACCAAGGATAGTTTGGCCTAGCCGATGCATAATTCAATTCAATTTTTTATCTTCAGAATCCACACCAATCCAGCCCTGCCGGAGTCAGTCAAGTGTCCTCTGCATCAGATGCAAAGACATGGGAACAAAAGGATGATGCTATGTCTAAGCTGGGTGGAAACATTTCCAGAAGTGAAGAGGTATCCATATAAACTTAAGTTTGCTTTGGTTGTGTCCGGAACTTGGATCTTCTTTTTTTTTTTTTTTTTTTGTCTTTTTCCACTGAACGTTTTGGGTTTTGATGTTTGATCATGTAGCTGCAGCTACTCCCAGAGCTAGAGTTCTCAGAGTTCATGCTTCCAGAACTTGATGCTTATGGTATATATGGGAACAGAAATGATGGGATGGGTGACAAAGCAACTAACCTTGATCTTAATCTTGGACTTGGACCAAGGATGAGTTCTGGCATGCCAAAAAATTTGAAAGGCTCATTGGGCGGTGGATCTCTTCTCCGTCAAGTTATGTCTTACCCTATACTGCAAATAGAGAAGAAGAAAGTCAGTGATAGAATGTTGGACAGGCCAAAAAATTTGAAAGGCTCATTGGGCGGTGGATCTCTTCTCCGTCAAGTTATGTCTTGCCCTATACTGCAAATAGAGAAGAAGAAAGTCAGTGATAGAATGTTGGACATGCCAAAAAATTTGAAAGGCTCATTGGGGGCTGGATCTCTTCTTCGTCAAGTTATGTCTTACCCTATACTGCAAATAGAGAAGAAAAAAGTTGGTGCTAGAATGTTGGATTTGACTGAAATCCAGACGATGGTTAAAGACAGCTTTCCCTCATTTGAGTTCAAGTCCTCTCACTGCAAGGACATGATTTACACAAAAGAGCAGCTCTACATTTCAAAGTCTCCCTCACTTAAATTCTGTTCTGCGCACAACTTTGTGTCCCTTTTCTTCTCATATAGCAAACGTCCTCAGCTATGGAAGGGAGGGGAGCAGGTAGTTTCAAAAAAATTCCTTCTTGATTATCTGCTGCAATTGCAATCACACAAAAACTCGATTTTTTTCTAATGTTGTTTACCTTTTGACAGCATCTTGTGAGCTTGAAGTGTCTTGATGCAAAGCATTCCGATTTGCTCTGGATTCCGGATCTATCAAAGGCTCAGAAACTAGAAAGTTTGAACCTTGAAGGCTGTGCAAACTTGGTTGGGATCTCATCCATTCAGTATCTTACAAAGCTTCAGCATCTCAACCTCAAGGGATGCCAAAGTTTGAAAGGAGTTCCAAGTTTAATCAGATTGAAGTTGCTCAAGACATTTGATCTCTCTGATTGCTCAAATCTAACCAGGCTTCCTCCTTCGCTTGGATGTCTACCAAATCTCAGTGAATTGAACCTCAAAAACTGTGCAAAACTTGCCAACCTCCCACGTAGTGTTATCCACTTGATGAAATCTCTTGAAACTCTTAATATTTCTGGCTGCTCCAGTATGTGGAAGTACATTGGTGACGATCAGGATGGAGCAGTGCCCTCATTAGCAAAGCCACATTTGGGGTTTTCTGCCATGCCTTCCACAGAAGCAAGACACCGGGAGAATCTACCCAACAGCAACAGTGACATTCCAGGTAGAAAGTAAAGAAAATTTGATGGTTGACAAATACTGTAAAACTTTATTGATGTTTCTCTTTGGCTAACCATTTTAGCTAATAAAGAATCTTCTCGTGAACAACAACTGCTCACAGCTGAGCAAGTGGATGTTGTTGCTGAAGGTTCACTATCACAAGATCTATCATTAGATCTGAAAGACATACGAGGAAAGAAGGCTATAGAACGGGAGGAAGAAGCATTTCTAAGAACTCCTTTGATCAGTTCTCTACTTTCAGAACTCAGGAGGGCACTATTGTTCCCTCCTAATGTTGGTTCTTCCCATGCTTCCACATCTTCTTCCCACGATATCAACATCCAGACCATAAACCACACACAGAACAACAAATCAGAAGCGGAGCAAAGTGAGATTGCAACTCTTTTGCAGATGGAAGATCAACAACAACAACTATGCAATGATGATGATCATGATCATGACGATGCAAAGACTGATGAAACGACGACACTTTCTGCAACAACCGAACCAATTCTTTGCCAGGTGGAAGACTGCCAAATCGATCTTAGCGGGGCAGAGACTTATCACCAACAACACAAGATCTGTGAGATTCATTGCATGGCTACTGCCGCATTACTAGGCAATATCCTGCAGCGGTTTTGCCAGCAATGTTGCAGGTGATGAAACTCAAAAAATTTAGCAACCCTGTTCTAAAAGCCTTTCTCCAGTACTTTCTCTATGAGTTCTTATGATCTACATTACACCTCTCTTTCAACAGGTTTCATGTCCTCTGTGATTTTGATGAAGAGGAGAGAAACTGCAGAAGTCGATTAGCAGGTTATCATCAAAAGCAAAGGAGGCAGCGTAATGCTACTATTGGTACCAAGGAAGAACATTCATCTCCTGAAACAGCAGCAGATTTGGATGCCGAGATCAACATTGCTGAATCAGAAGATGAAAATGAAAAATGCTTGCTTCACAAGAGAATCAGAACAGTGGATCCTCCAGAGCAGAATCAGCCTACCCAAGCAGCAGTAGAGCAGCAGTCTTTCAACGATTGGGATGAAGCCAATGCGATTGGGGACATTGAGGATCGTGTTCTGGAAATGATTGAGCAGATTTCGCGCTCGAATTGCGCCGACGACGACGAAAAGGCGGCAGCAGCAGTGCCGGAGAGTGTGCTGGATTTGCTAGCAGAGATGGAACAAACCGTTCCTGAGACAGTGAGGAGCATGAAGAGTGCCAAAGCAAAGGCAACAGCTAATTCAGCGGAATGGAAGGTGGCTGATGCAAGGTTGGTCATAGGAGAACTGGAGCTGAGATTGCTGGACATGGAATTGACGAGGATCTCCGAGGAGGAAGAGGAGATTGAAGCTGAGCTTCAGCGATTGATGGATCAGAAGAGAAAGCTGTCGCAGCAGCAGCAGCAGCATTAGGCAAGTCGAAATTTTCAGCACATGGAATGAATCTTTTTTCTTCTTTAGGGTAATCTAGTTTCTCGGCCAATTTTCTCGACAGCCAAACAAGACAATCCGAATCAAGGGGAAAATCGAGAGCGCCAAGAGAAAAAAGAGAGGCGAATAATAAATGATATTACCTCATCTTTCGATTCGTTCTCCCGCAGGCTCAGCGCCGACGGCCGGAACTTCCAGAGAAGCAATGAATTGAATCGGGAAGCATGGCTTTCAATGGAAGGAAATTCAGAATTTGGACGGAGCTGAAAGAAGAAACTACAGAGATGGAGGAGAAGAAGAAAGCTGTTAAATGCCGGTGGGGGGTTTGCCGGGCTCGTGGCGGCAGATTGACGGAGACGTTGCGGGCCACGTTTAATTGTTGGGCTCTTGTGGTTTGGATCTCGTTGGTTGGGCCAGAGATGATGAGGTCTTGCCCGTATCCCCTTATTCTTTTTGTCTTGTTTGCATTTGGTTGCCCTCAGGATGAGGAGCCGATTCAGGGCTTGACTTAGTTATGACTTATGACTTATGAGTGAATAATTATATATAATTTTGTATTTATCATTTTTAGAAGGTTATTAATTTTCTTTCAATAAATTTTAAATGGCTATATTTCTTTGTTTTAAGTTAAAATTAACAAAAAAATTTGTACTAAAAATCATATTAATTGTGCTTTTCAAAATGACAACCATTTTGATATATTTTGGAACAAAAAATTGACACTTGTCTTACTAGTTCATACCATGTGGCATGTGGTATTACTTGTATGTACATAAGATTATAACACGTGATATGAAAATTATCATGGTGGACAAATATGACGAACTATACAAACAATACAAAACATACAAACTATACAGATTAGATTTACAATTCATACATGGAAATACAAACAATACAAATCATACAAAATAGAAAAACAACCAGGTTGACTTTAGAGGCTCCGTCGTTATATAGAGTAGTTTCATCCATAAGTCAACCAGGTTATCTTTTTAACAGTACAAAAATGGTAGACAAAAGCGACAAACTTACAAATATATAAAACAAACCAAAAAACTTTATAAAGCATATCTAACCTTACAAAATACTACTAGTTATAATACAAATCGGTAAACTTGTATTCCAAACCAATAGATACAAAGCATACGGATCACAACATAAAATATACAAACTAGAAAAACAAATAATACAAATTACCATTATACTAATTAGTCATATAAACATTACTAACATTACAAGATAGACCGAAAAACATAACAAAACTGCCGCCCGAAAATCCCCCATCATCCGAAAATCCTCTCCGCTACCCACCCCCTTCTTTAAAGAACAAGAAGATCGAAGAAGTAATACCCTTATGCAGTAGTCCCAAACCGGGTTTTCGCTAAAAAGAAAATAATTTATAGGGTTACCAGTGTTACTCGGACCTATGGGTGCCCAACCCGACCTAATCTAGTCAAACTAGGTAAACTTCGGTGTTGATTGATTTTGAATTGAATTCGGATAATACCAATAAATGCAATTTGTTATCTATCCCCATTTCTTTCTGATTTTTGAAGTATAAGATTGAGATTGTGCAAGAGGAAAAAACATATATCAATGTAAGAGTTACATATAATTGTGTTGATTGATGATGAGTTAGTTGCCAGTGCATGTCATGACATCATATGATCATATGTCATTTCTTACAAATAGAAGCAATATATTAGGTGAACAGTATATGTTGCTTTGTCTATAAATTGTTTTCTGTTTTAAGAAACCCTTTTTTCTCTTTTTTTTACCCATTCTTATTCTTGCATATATGTTGGGTTCAAATTGTCAAATAATTAATTTTCTATTAATTAAGATAATGAGAAAACATATAGCTACTTGTCTTAGACTCAAGGGTCTTGTACTAATACTGTGTAGAAAGCAACTAATTGATCTTCTATAAAAAAAATGCAAACAACCAATTGACTTAATTAGTCAATAAAAAATCATAGTTTTTTTTTTATTTGCATAATCACAATTTTAGTTACACAAGTTGTCGACTGGAAATGAAGTTTTTTTGTCTATGCATAGTACTATACTCGAAATCCCAATGAGTAAAACTGGTGTCATAATTCTCTAACTCGCACACCGTATATAAGATCAAATTAATTAGAAACAATATCGTTTGAGTTCGTCGAATAACATGTACTTCGAGAAAACATTTGCCACACCCGTATATATAATTAACAAGTTATAAAACCGTGATTAGGGCGTATAATTAAAAGTGAAAGGACCCATCGTGAGAGAGAGAGATCTATAGAGAGAAGAAAAAGGCAAATATTCTGCTATACAAGTATATAAAGCAACCTCTCATAAGACAATCTCTGCTAACTAAGTAATTACTCTACTTTACTTCATATAAATGCATGCACGTACGTACGTACGTAAATAGGTACTAACCCTAATGTCTCTCTCGTTACATTATGGCGTATCTCTTTTTTTCTTCCCTTTCTTAATTAGTAGACCAACTATGTAAATTAATTATATTTCCCCGATGAAATTATATGGAAACTCTTTTTTTTCCCCCCGAGAGATTCCACGTAAGCTTTCCCCCCATCCTTAACAAAAAAAGAAGGGGAAAAAAAAAGATTCAATACGAACCGATCTAGCAGTCTCCAAAGTCGCGAATCGAGAACGTGGAGGAGGCCTTCTCCGGCACGTTCCCGACGTGCCGGAGACCTAGCGTGAGAGACACGTCTCCGCCGCCGCCGGCGGCTGTCCCGTACCTTATTAGGGTATTAGCCGCTACATCAGTGGGCCCGAAGTTATCTTGGTCGCCGCACATGCTCGTCCCACCGGTACCGTAGTTGGCGTACTCGTGGAAAAGAGGCGGCGACGGCGGTGGCGCCGCCTCCACGGCGGAGGAGGGCACGATCATGGCGGCTGCATGCTGGCTATCCGAGAAGTACTGCTGCTGCCTGTTAATCAAGGCGGCGAGGGGAGACGAAGATGGAGGGACGACGTCGTTTTCGTCGGGGATTTCGGGTGATCGTTTGACCGCCGGCGGGGTTGTTGTGGCGGCCGCGGCGGAGGTAGGGGTGATAATTGGCGCCGGTGATTGTGTCGTGGTGTGGAGTTTTTCTTCATCTTGACTTGCGTCCGCCACGTTATCATCGTCGTCGTCTTCCTTGGACTCTTGCTGGTACATCTCCTCGATCATTGGCTTCCACAGTCGGACTCTTGCATTGATGAACCAATTGGAAACCTAATAAATCACCACCAGCCAACAATTACATGGCATTGTTAATCAACCACAGGTAATAACATTCAGAAATTAGTGAGGAATATATACTATTATAAACACCATCAACTTCAGAAATTATGGTCCACAATTCACCATTAGTTACGATTTACGAGGTTGATAGTATTCAATCTAGTTAACTAATTATCTTATTCGATCTCGCAGCCAAGTTACGTAAATTTTGAGACTGCCCACTTAATCATGGTCTATCTGACTGCTTCCTGTGTTCCCCGCAGTATCAAAGATAAGATTTAAAACAAGAGTCTCATATTGTCAAATGCAAAATTGTTTACCACTGAATCGTGCACATCAGATTTCGTTACAACCCCGTTATTAGTCTATCCTTATTATGATCTAACTAAGGTACCATGCACATTGCCTAACATGAAATACAATAGTAAATGATGGTGATGAAGGGTGATAATTAAGTAAGTAACTAGAAGCAACTACTGCCATAACTATAGCAAGGTCGACATGATTGATGGAGAAATGGATGGAGCACAAACCATTAATTTATGAGGTTGGATATAGCCTGACAATGATCAATCACCTTATTTATTATGTGTATATCCCACAGTCCCACAAATGCACATAGAAATTTGTGCTCATCATTTCTTTCATACAAAGTATGAAAAACAACACCCAACCATTGTAGCCAAAGCATTTTACAGGGTGCATGTTCACTCACGTATCATTGAGGGGCTATAGCAATCCTGAACTACGACATATTATAAAAAGTTTCACCTGAAACCGATCGAAAAACCCATAACTTAGACCACACGCATGTGATAGTTTTTGTTAAGCATGCTGCTAGGGTAGGTATTAGCTACAAGCCGGTAATACGAGATTATGTGACCTGTGGTCTTGACAGTTGGATGTACTCGTGTCGATGTTATTTAGAGAAAGAAATTACGTTATATAACGATTAGGATCACTAGAATGAGTCGAAGCGAGACAGTAAAAATACGAAATCGGAATAAGTGAAAAGAGAAAGGAGGGAGAGGGACAACTGACCTGATTTCTCGATAGACCAGTCTGTCGAGCCAACAGATGTTTATCTGCATCGCTTGGATACCTGAGAAAGAGACCACCAGGGCTTTCCTTTTTATGAAGAGAACAATAATACAAATAAAGGTGTACATATATGTATGATAGTATTGCTATTGGATTGGACCAGAAATAACGCCATTATTCCATTCTCAAGTATGCACATATAAAGCTGATACCCAACCCGTACGTATAAAGACTAAAGAGGGGAAAAACCAGACACACAAGATCGAGGCACAACTTTACTGTGATAACCGAGAAAGAAAGAAAAAAAAACAGAAGAAAAAGAATGGCTGTAGTAGGGTTTTGTTTTTCTTTATTTCTAGTACAATGGTCTCTGCATGAAGGAAAGGAAAGGCGGAAGAGAGATAGAAATGATAAGTTCAGCAGAGCATGCATGCACTAGCAAAGGGCAGTAGTAGGCCGGCCAGCCATGGCGGCCAGTAGTTTTTCCTGCATTCATTCCGTTGGCAGTAGTTTTTCCAGCCTAGTCGTTGGATGCAAATGAAATTACTACTGCATGTTCTACATTTTTTTATTCTCTTGTGGTTAGAAGGTATCTATCTCAGTAAAAACAAAGGAATCATACGTCCGCCGAAGCAAAGGCAGCAGCCAGGTCACATATGTCCAAAGCCGTAAGCTTGGGATCTTGTGACGATATAAGCCAAACATTGTTATAAAGAACAAACACAGAACAGTCGTACGTTACTGAAACAGAAGGCTTTAATCATTCATGATCAACATATATGACATCACCAGACCAACAACAATAACAACAAAAACAGGAAAAGAAGAAGTGAACCCTTTTAACATTTACACAACAAAAAAATGGTCTCCTAATTATGGACAAGACACAAGAGTTCAATTATTTTGATCAATCTTAAACTCTAATTAATAATTTACTATATATGTCGAGGGATGGGCTATCTAACATAGGGTTAGTATCATATATACTAATAATGAGTTGTAGACTTGTATTGGTAGAAATAAAATACGTGGACTACTATAACTCATAGTTAGTCAGCATGGTGTTAATCTACTACAGAATTAGCACAATATCATGTCTCATGTCGGGGTGATTGGCGATCGACATTTATGAGAGAACCGTATATAGTGGCGGAGCCAGCTTGCTAGAGGGCGGATTTCGGGTTCCACCTTAGCTCTAGAACAGAACACTGAAAATGACACAATCTATATTACTCGAATCCAATACCTCATGTTGACTAGTTTTATTTGTCTAAACAAATTGTAGATAATTTTGTGACACGTATCAACCTTACATATTATATAATTAAATAACTCTAGATTTTACACGAACGAAACTGTAACCCTAGTTGTTTATCCTAAGTTTACCAATTCTTACTTTTGTGTCGAATTCTCCACCCTCAAACAAAGATCCGTCACGACAAACCATAAGCACGCGTCATGCGCCATTCAAATTTGTATAAAAATTTAATTTCTATATTTTATTTTTACATCAGATCCATCTTAAATAAATAAAAAATTGCATACTTGTTCACTACAAACCCTTTACTTATTAAATAGAAAAAGCTCTTTATAGTTAACCCTAACTCTTTCCCAAGTATTCAAGACAACTCCTTTCTTTTTTCTCAACGACTCAACAACCAACATCAATCGGACGTTCTGAAACCTGACGGTGAGTCGGTGATTGACACCCATAATCTCATAACTAATTATCCGGTGGTAAACCACTAACTAACCATATCATTTCAACGTCGTGTATAGTTAATTAACGCAACTAAGCGGGTGAAATTTAAAAAAGAGAAGGTAATTAAAAGGGAGAGAAAAAGACGTCGTAAACTTACGGGTGAAGGAAATGCTCGAAGAGCCAGGCGCGGAGGATGCTGACGGATCGCTCCGGCAGCCCCCTCTGCGGCCGCCACGCGTCCTCCTGCTCCATCTGATGGAAGTGGAACGCACGCTGTTGCTGCCTCAGGCTCTTTTCCAGCGCCTTAAGCCGCGGCGTCTCCCCTCTCGTGATCCCTCCTGCCGCGGCCCCACCGTCCTTGTCACCCAGCAGCTCGCAGAGCTGCCGGATCTGGGCCGCGATCGCGTCCTTCAGGCACCTGAAGTGACGCGACATGGCCTTCTGGGCCAGGGCCGTGTACGGGACCGCGGCCCCGAACCCCATCACGAGGTCGAACGAGTTCACCACCCTCTGCATCTGCTCGCAGTAGTGGTTGTACCTTCTGTCCACCTGAAGTAAAAATCAATTTGTTTTGTACTGTTAAAATCAAACTGTCAACCAATTTGAACTTCAATAAACAATTTTTCTAGTCAGATCGTCGGTACGATAATTTAAAAAAAATTTATGATGCTTCAATTTAATGGCCAGGATGGGGTGGGATCGGATCGGATCCATCTATCTTCATCCCAATCAGGAGCAACGTCCTCTTCTTTCTCCTACCATCCTCCTTAAGTAATTGTCCCCTTTCAGCACAAGTTCTTTTCTTTTCATATCCCATATATATTTCGTTTATTTCATTATTATTTCCTCACCAAACCCCTTTAATAAGAAACATATTTTAGAAATTTTTTAAAATGGTAAAAAACAATTGCAAGTAAAAAATCTGCATTATTATATTTCCACCAATCCAACATTGTCATAGGCTTGCAAAAGCAAGCAATAATATTAGTTTAGTAATTAATAGAGTGGGTTTTTATGTATAATTAATATAATAATTTCAAAACTTTGATGGTGATTATGATGGCTAATCCTACCGCTGTACTACTGATCTAGTGTTAAATATGTCAGTGTATACCTCTCATTGCACCTGCTGCCGGCTTTCTACCATTATATTTAAGCAAGAAAACATCCCGTATATAAAATTTATAATTTAATTAATTACTCATCAAATCCAAAACCGCAAATTTCCCATTTGTTCCTAATGATTGGACCCGTCCCGGAAAAACCAAAATCAAATTTCGTGAAAATTCCACCAAATGGCGACTTATAATGCTTCAAATTCATGAAAATCCTGGCAATTTGGATACAAATAAGAGTTATTATTATAATTAAAAGGGAGAAGAAGAAGAATAAGGAAGAGAAACGGGGGACATGCCTCATCAAGCATGTACACGAGTTTGACCTTCCGCTTCTGACGCTCCATCCGATCCGAAGACGACGACAACATCGGCGGCGGGGGAGCCGGCGAGTTTGACCTTCCGCCCCCGCCGACGCCGCCTTTGTTGGTATTGAGCCTGCACAATTTGCTCTTCCTGAACTGCCCTCTCCCCACGCTGCAGAACTCCTCTAATAATTCTGCGGCCGCCCTGACGTACTTGGAGCTCCGGAGCACACTCACCGCGGACCCGAACCCGCCGATTCGATCATGATTCATCACCACCTGTTGATGCCGATGGTGATTGTAGTATAGTAATCGGCCGCCGCCGTCGCTAATTCGCAAATCCTCGGCCTTGGCGGCTTCTAGGTTCTGCAGCGACGAGGAGAGGGAGAGGGAGAGGAGTCCCTGCCCTTCCACCGCCCCGCCGCGGATTTCGGCGGCGGAGTGGTGGTTCGAGTCCGGGGCCCACGAGAATTGCGTGATCGGGTCTGGGAGAGTGGAGGATCGCGGCGGATTGGAAGAAGAATCGCCGCCGCCGACGTCGTACCAGTCGGTGGCGTCGGCGGGGTGGTGATGGTCAAGGACGGCGGCGACGGACGGTCCGCCGGTGGAAGAAGGGAAACTGAACATCTCGGATAACATCCCCGTCGGTTGTTGTTGTTGTTGAACTCTGTCGAATCCGTTGGAAGCGGAGAAAGAGAAAAAACCTCCTCCGCCTCCGCCACCGCCGTCGGTGGCGTGGTGGTGGTAATCCTGCTGGGACATAGAATCGTCGCGATGACCGAAACGACGCCGGATCAGGAGGAGAATGACAGAGATTACGGAGATGGTGATATTGATGCTGGAGATAGACAGAGAGAAAGGGAGGAAAATGAAAAAAAGGTTTTTATAACGTGGAAAAAATGAAGGAAATTTTTTTCCTTTTTTTTTTTTTGTTAAACAAATGGATATACTGAGATACAAAATTACAATGGGGAGGAGGTGAGATGATGATTTTGTTAATAATTACGATGATGATTAATTTTCTTCTTCATAATCACTACTATGCTACACGTTATCTCTTTAAAAGAACAAGTTACAAGTTTACTGTTTGGTAGAGTCACATCCAAACACTGTTACTTGTTTTTCATTTTTTGCACTTTTTCCACTCATTTTTTACTGACTTTGGGTCTGCCACGTTCAGGCGGCTCCTGTGATGGAGATGGTTGCGTTGCTTTTCTACCGTTTTGCCGTCGTTCTATTAGTTTTACTTTACTTTTCAGTTCTCGATCTTTGGCCCCTCTGCTTCACTTGTTTCGAGAAGGGAGCCTTTGTCCCTTTTGGAACTCTTTCCATTCCCATATCCTGACATTTGCTTCTGTTACACTACCTTAGTTCCCACCATACTTTTTCAGATCTGCTTTCTCTCTTCCTCTCTTTTTGTATTGAACGACGAAGAAGAAACATGGTGAAGCAGAAGAGAAGGAAGATCGAGGCGCCCATAGCTGAAGAAGGTGAAGTAGAACTCTAAAATGACAGAAGAATCAGGCACAATAGGGCAAAAATCAGTAGCCCACAGAACCCACCATCATCCATGAAGATAGATTCGGTACCTTCTTTCTCTTTGCTCTTGTTTCTAGGTTCTTTTTGTATTTTTTGGGTTCATCCTTCTTTTCTGTTTTTGCTTCACCTTCTCACAGAACTCCTGCCACCCACCAATCAGTCTCCATCTCTCTCTTTCTTTCATTGGAAGAAGACGAAGCCAGAAGGAGAACCAGGAGGAGAAGAGGAAGGAACAGCGGTGGGTTTCTTTCTCCCTTTCTTTCTCCTGTTTTCTGGGTTTTTAGCCGAACGTATTTGATGGATTTCGTTCATCATCTTCCCCATTCTTTTCAGATCAAAGGGACGAAGACAACGAGATTATGGCTACAGAAAGTGATCCTTCTGTTTTCGCAGACGATAGAAACGACGAGGGCTGGGTTCACGACGAGGGATGGTTCGCGATGGTGGTAGGTTGCTAGCTTCTCTTTCATTGATTTTTGCTTTCAGACGACTTCTGCGCTTGCTGGGTTTGGGTATAGATTCTGATTTTCACCATACTTCTGGGTTTGGTTCATCCTTTTGTTCATTCCGATTCGCAGAAGGTAGAAAAGGCGAGGGCTGGGTTTGCCTCGGTGGTAGGTTGCTAGCTTCTCTCTCATTGATTTTTGCTTTCAGACAAGAGCAAGAGCGAGGGTGGTAGCCGGCGCCGGTGGGCGGTTTTCTTTGCTATCACTGCTCTGATCATCGCTCTGGCCGCTGCTTCCACCGCCTCCCCCAAGATCTCTCTCTTCGGTAAAGTCAATAAGCTCTGCAGCTGCTCCCAGCAGCAGGTACGTTTTATTCTGTTCGAATTCTGTAATCTTTGCCTCCGTTTGACTTGGTCTGCGGCTCGGGGATTGACATGCATTATTATAGAAGTTCATAGCTTTGTGAATCGTATTAGACCTGGTATTCTATTTCGAATGCTTTGCGATTCAGGGATTCAGGGGCGATTTGAGATTCTGTCCCCATCTGAGTGTTCGTTTTACATCATTGTTTCAGCTGATTTTGACTGGGCAGTTCTTAATTTCGTCTGTGTGCGCACAGAAATATACTGGGATTGTGGAAGATTGCTGTTGCAACTACGAGACGGCTAACCTTTTGAACGAGGAAGTATTGTATCCGTCTCTCCAGGAGCTTGTGAAAACCCCATTCTTCCGTTATTTCAAGGTCCTTCCCCCCAAACTCCACTGGGTTCTCATTAAAGTTAGGAACTTGTCATTTTCAAAGCATTACTATACATGTTGCCGTGCCAGCAATTTCTTTGCTTTGTGATCAAGAAGCATGATTCTGTAATTGCATTTGTCTTTATCTCTTGCTGCTCATTCCCGATCATACTGAACTGATAATGTTGTTTGCTTGGTTAGCTTTTCTTGTGGCTGATTTTTCTTTGGCCATTTGTGCTCTCTAATAGGTGAAATTATGGTGTGACTGTCCTTTCTGGCCGGATGATGGCATGTGCAAATTGAGGGATTGCAGTGTCTGTGAATGTCCGGATAATGAGTTCCCTGAGTTGTTTAAGAGGCCTTTCCGCCGTGGTCTGCCCTCAGATGCGCCTATTTGTCAAGAAGGCAAGCCGGAGGCTGCCGTCGATCGCACCCTTGATCATAGAGCTTTTAGGGGTTGGACAGTGACTGATAACCCATGGACAAATGATTATGAGACTAACAATGGTTAGTCCCCTTTCTGGTCCCTAAGCTTCAAAGATATGAAATTGGTGTCGTTTTCATTTATGTTTGTCTTTACGTTTCATCCTATAAATCTTTTATGTTTGTGGTTTGAGTTGGGATTGGTATTCACTATTCTGCCACCCCTGATGTAAAACTACTAATGATCAGATCTCACAATTTATTGCTACTATTTGTCTGGTTAAAGATAGTTTATATTGAGCTATCAAATGTTGCTGCTAATGCAACTTTTCATTTACAGATGAGATGACGTATGTGAATCTGCAACTGAATCCTGAACGCTATACTGGATACACTGGTCCATCAGCTAGAAGGATATGGGATGCTGTTTACTCTGAGAACTGTCCCAAGTGTAAGTGCAGCTCTTACTTGCTTGGCGAATTGGTCTTTCTATTTTGACGAACATGCTTGTCTAATTGTTTTCATAGAAGAATTAGAATGACTTGCTTATAAACTTTGACTTCTGAGGGATCTTACTATATTAACTTCCTTTACCTATGTTTGTTTATCCTGCTGTACACTGTATTTCTGGGTTTGGTTCATACTTTTGTCCATTATTTCTTACTGAAGGAACGACAATGCAACCAGATCATGGCCGGAGTGAGAGAATCACTCAAGAGGAAAAAGGAACATTGGCTTTGAAGATCATGGAAGGAGTAAGTGAACCAGCGTTTACACAAAACGAAGTTGACTTATGTTTGATCCAAATTCATTTGGAATCTTGTTTTAATTAGTGTTGGAGTTAGAAAACGAGAGGTCTAATCTTCCTCGATTAATTAGTCAGGTGGCCAACGTTGTTAACGAGTTTAGCTGCCTTTTTGTTTGCTATTGTAAGCTCTGTTCTATGACCCTTCATACAAACTTATTTATGTTTATATCCAAATGCTAGGATGTTGGAGAATTCGATCGGTAGATACACCGGTTGTCCCCTCTGAAGCATGACAGATAGAGGCCCACCAAAGTGGTTCGGGTTAGTTTCGCTTATTGTTTTGGTTGCATGCATTTCCTTCTTTTGCGTGCCTGTATATTGGGATCTGATGAGGGTTTTTACTTACGGTGTCTTCTTTAAGTTGTTGCAGTACATTGCTTACAATATGTTTGATCTACATCTGCTGCCGGGGAGGATAGAAGGAACCTAACCAAGCTTTTCAGTAGCAAGCATGTTTGGGAAGCAGAAGCCGATGTCAAACTGGTTGGGTTGTGGCGATTTAGATTTGGAGCAAACCCATTTTTAATCGCGGTGATCATTTTACTTTTCTTTGGTTGTGCTAGAAGTATAGATTATAATGACCGCTATCAGTGTTGAAACACATTCTGCTTATGATGGTCCCTAACATTATAGATTTTATGGTTTGGTTTTGTTTGTGCCTATGGATTTATGGTTGGCCATATGCTTTGCTCTACAGTTTGTAGCCGGTCTGTTCTGATGTGCCAACAAGGGTACATGGAACTGTGGATTAGGAGGTATAGCGATGCACAACTCAACTTGCGTCTGCATTGCTTCATTATGATTATTTGAGGTTTGTTCTTCTGTAACTTCTTCTTTTATTCCCTTTACATGTTCTGTTCTCTAATGTGGTCTCGGTTCCTTTTACCCCTTTTTGCCAGAGTTTTACTGTACCAATAGGGCATGCGTTGCATATGCACTTGAGAGGACTAGAGCTGAATATTGTTATTCTAGGATGAGGAGGAGAAGGTCATGTTACAGCCAGGTATTTGTTTTCCTATAACGGTCTGAAACTTTGGTTCCTACAAACCCAGTTTTAAGTTTTCATGATGTGAAATAATTTGAATGATCTTTAGCAAGCAACCATGTGGGGAAAAAAAATACCATAGCTACTAGATAATTGGTGAAGTTTAATCAAATGATAAATGCCAGATTGCCTGCTCAATTCCCAAAGAGTTGTTGAATTAGTAAATAATTCATATATTCAATTGTGTTAATTTTATTGTTTTCATGTACCTTATATGTAATTTATAAAAGGTGTTTGCAGCCACTAACTACTTGGTTATTAATTGGTATGTTTTCAAAATGATTTACTCCTCAAACCAACAGTTAGGTGGCCTGACAACTCTATGTTTTCAAAATGATTCACTCTCCTTTCCTTTAGCTATGGACTCTGCTGGTGTTTCATTTAAAGAATTTCAGTTATGGTGTGGAGAAGAATTCCAATTTCGTTTTTATTCTCATTTCCACTCTCTCTTTCTGATTTTGTGTGAGTGTTTATGTTCTCTTCCTTCGAGATGGGTGCCTATTTTAATCACAAATGCCGGATTTGTGAGGTTCAGCGGCAGTGCGGAGAAGAAACTAATCTCCAGTTTCCACGACGCTTTTAGATTTCAAGTGATGGTTCTCTCTCTGTGATTAGTTTGTTTACTCTCTTTTCTTGATGGTTTTGTTTTCATTCTTTTGTCAGGGGTTTCTTCATCCGCTTTCAAAGGAGGTTCGGACGGTGAGTTCTGTGGCAAATGAATTGATCCTATTTTTGTTGTTTGTGCCAATTGTGATTGCATATATGTCATATTGTTTTCATTCCTATATCTGTGCGAGTTGTATATGTTTAGTCCATTTTATTTTTGATGTTTAATCTGTTTGTTTCAATCACAGGATAATGATTGTAATGTCGTGCTACCTAGAAACATGAATTGTGAATAAAACTTGATTCAGTATCTCAGTCAAGTTTGGATCTTACCACGTGACGGATCCATGGCGAAGGAAATTGTAGTCCTTCGCAGACTTTTTCCAACATGGTAATTGTTCTTTTAGAATGATTGGGTTTTGTCGAATTTGATTTTGCCGTTCAGCTTCTGCAACTGGATCTTGGGTAGAGTAATAGAAAGAAAAAAAATGGTAGGAGATAATCAGCTGAGTCACTTTAATGCGTAAGTAGTAGGCTTCGTGAATTATTCTATTGCATTCTGTTCTTTGTGGTAGTGATTGGTATACCCTTATGAGTTCTGGTGTTACAGTGCCACAATTGGGGTTCTTATTAAAATCTCTTTAATAGGGTTAGATTAGAATGGTTAGAATAATTTGTGTATGGTTGGTCATTGGTTCCAACCATCGTGCTTAACAGTGTACTTTTTACTCTACTGGTTTTAGTATTGACTAGCCTTGGCTCCGGATCGTTTTATGCTAAAGATTCCTATGTTTTGTTTCCCTTATAGATCAAGTCAAGTTGGTTCTCGCGCTCGGTTGGACCTTCAGGTGAGCCTCCGTTGACGTGCTTTGGGGTGTCGTGAGAATCATGCTTTTTTTCATTTTTGTTCCCCATAAGTTTTGTTGTTTTCTCTCCTGAATCCTTTGTATTTTAGCGGGGGATATCACCACTTGAAAACTTGCTGCATACTGTGTTGCATCTCCAGCAGGCTGAGTTGCATGTTTGTCAGTTCACACGGACAAAGGTGCTGGGGATTGATGATTTCAGAGCTAGAGAGCAGAATGCATTTCATAAAACTTCTCATTGATATTAGCCATTGATGTTGCATACTTCTATTAATCCATCACGGGGGATGAAAAGTGAATGGGTTTTTTCTTCTGTGTTGCAGGTTTAACTGTATGTTCCCTTTGCATCCGTGCAGCCAAGGAGTAATAAGTCGGCTTGGGGTGGGTCTCCTCAGCCCCTTCTCTGGAAATGTCAAGCAACGACAGGGGAGACGACATTAGTAGCCAGGGAGGATTCTCAAGCCAGAGCATGCTGATTCTCTTGCCCTTTGAGTTGATGGGATTTTCTGAGAGCTGAGTTGATCGTGGAATCTCAGCGAAATGCCGCTGGACCATTAGATGTATGCTTTGCGAAACCTTCCCTCCCGTCGTCGTGAACTCAGGTCTCTCTCTCCCCCACCCTCCTTCTCCTTCCCCTGCCATTTTTTCCCTTTTTTCCTGCGGTTACTGAATGGCAATTCCTTGGCTTTTTCCTCCCATCCCCCAATCATATATGAGTTGGGTTTCAGGTTTTGATTGTTTGTCGGGTTTGAGAGATTGACGGTCGGGTTGGGGAAGAAGCAGGTTCGATGTTTTGGATTTTCATTTTTAGGTTATTGTTTTTCTGATTTTCCTTGAATGTGATCATGCCCTCTTTTCCTGTTTTAGAAGAGCACGTCTGGTCTTGGAGATTTTATAATCGAATTCGCTGATGGGGATTTGGGGAGGTAAGACACTGTCGGCAACATCGTCGTAATCATATCCTCTTGAGACAGTGGCTAGGCATAGGCGAAGGTAATTTTATATGTCTTTTCCTTATATTTTTTTCCCTTCTCCCCCTGGTAATCTGTCCTGTTTTATCTTTCTGATTCATCGCTTTTGTTTGCTATTTCGGATAGCGATTCGGTATTTTAGAGTTGACAATCGATCTGAACTTTAGAGTCGTCAGAGCGGGCAAGCGAACCAGAAACATCATTTGAAGTTTCTCCCTCCGTTTCACTTTGATCTAATTAGTTTTGTTGTTGTCAAAGATTCATTCGGTGGAGGAACTTCTATTTTAGGACTCTCTTTCTCAATTTTCCAGATTTACTGTGAGAAGAGTCTAGGGAGTTGCATAAACAAACGTGAACTCTCGATTCTACCTTTTTAGTATTTTGGGTTCTATATCTGCATTGACGTCCATGATCGACCCATTTAAGCTTTCTTTTTCCCTTTCGTTTGATTTCCGAGTGTGGAGAACTCGGTAGAGGTCTTTCACAGATGGCAGGTTGATTAATAATTGTGTGGAAACATAATTAGGGGACTTCCCCTATTCTAACTGTCCTTTGAGTCTAACTCCATAAAAAAATGTATGTCAGTTCCCTTACGTGTGACCTCTTCATGGGATTTCAAGGTCTGTGTTCTTTTTCTTATTGAGTATTGAGATCAAAATGGTCGTTTTGGTTATCTATTAAATGTATGTGGTGCATAGATGTGCAGGTAATGCTTGCCTTTGGATTAACCAAAAACTGGAGTACCTGTACTATAACTTCTGGAGAGGACAGTTGATTGGGAGCAGCAACTCCAGAAAGCATATATGTGCTTTTGAAGTAGGTCCAGGTTAGCCACTGTTCTCTGTGAATTTTGCAGTTTTTGCTATGACAGAAGTAATCTTTATTTTGCTCTACCTTAGATACTACTATTTTCATGAATCTGAGTATTTTTATGGTTTATGAATGTTGATGTGCAATAATATATTGCTTGCTTTCTAAGTGTTCTTGAGAAGGTAGGACTGGACAAAATTGAACCATCACACATAATGTCGTGATCTCCATTTTGTGTGCAGTTGCCTTTACATTGCAGATTTGTCCCCTTTGTTGGTAATTATGTCCCTTTAGGGGTT